ACAGGCTGTGGTTATCCATGTGGATGCACTGCAATTTCTAAATCACAAGGTCCCGTGGCAATAACAGTCCCAAGTGGACTTAAATTTATTTTTGTAAATGGTAACCACAGGCTACTTGGAAAAGTCGTCTCAAGCAAGGCTGCGGAACTTATCATCAGATACTGGCAACAGGGGAAGTGTAGTAATAAAGGAAGTGAAACACCGACTTAGTCCGACAACACAAGAGATGTGAGCAAATGTCATTTTTTCTGGCCAAAACCAGTCGTCTATTGTAGCACAAAGGGGCCAAATAATCACTATTTGATATTTACCTCTGTGAGCGCCCGCCAAAGAGTTTTATTGTCTGCAGCAATTAGTAGGTAATAAAAAGACTATACACTCATAGAAATGTCATTAAGAAGATACATTTTATGGAGGTAATATATAGCATTTATTGTACTTGGCTCAGTATTCCCAGTTAAGTGTTTTATGTTGCTAAGACTGAATTAGCCGCTAATCACAGGGTAAAAAGGTTTAACTTGACAAGTGGAATTGGTGATAAACATGTAATGTAGAGGAAGGAAAGGGCATTAAATGCATGAATGCATCAATAGTTTTGTTTTGTTTTTTGGGGGGGTTTGGGTGTATGCTTTTATTCAGGGGGCATATATGACGGCTTTCGTGATGGCTTTCATAGCACACAGACATTCTGCTGCTGCTCCGTGTTAGAGAGCCCTCGACTGCTGGTCTTAAAGGAGCTTCCTTCCAAATGCTCCAGGCTGACTGGTTTCTTTTAGGTTGTATTTCCTCTCTGCCAGAAACATACGCTTTTTCCTCAATGCTGCTGGACAAACATTTGGAACTGACTATTTAGTACGTTTCAGGCAAACGGGTTGGAGTCTCTTTGTATAAGAATTTTATTGCCTTTTCCCCTCTCGGACTCTTAACCCTTGTATTTTCAGTTAATTCCATTCACCCACCCCTATGATCTTTTGTTCCTCGCCAGCCCTGATAGACGTGTTGTGTTTGTTGAGTCACAGCTAACACACTGTGACATCTCTCCTCTCCTGGAGGGCTTGACGTCTATAGGATCACACACTGCGCCCTTCAAAGATCCATCTGGTAGCTGCTGCCACTGCTGAACTGTTTGTGCCTCGCACAAAGGGAGAGAGGTGGATATATGGCAGAGTTGGTTTAATATCTTGTTAGTACGTGCTGTTACTAACATGTTAATTAACAACATAGTGTGATGTTATGGTCACATTCCCTGCCCTGTGACTAAAGATGACACTTTACTAGTTACAAAGGTCTGTCCTCACATGGTTGCTGGTGTGACTATGCTTTGTAATGCTGTAATTTCCTCTTCCTTACAACTATACAGGTAGATAAATAAACAGTGGTATTTATTATTTGTGGTATCTGTCTCTCTACAGGTATTCCCTTCATTTCCTGGTCCAGAGTGGCCTGTCTTACAGTGTGATGGTGTTTGCTGGGCTGGAGAACATGCACAAGTAAGAAGAAAACTCACAAACCTGTAAAAAAAAATCAGTTTGATTTAATAAACCCTGAAACCAAAACTTGAAGTTTGCTGCACTTGAATCTTGTCATTAATGTTACATTAGATATTGGACTGTTTTAAGGCTTCATGTGCTTTATCTGTTTAGGGCACATAGGCCTAAGACACACTGATACTGATTCTGCTCCCGGGCTTCCATCTGTGTCCATGAAGACAAACACACACACTCAGACGCACAGGCATATTCACATTGGCTTAGATGCTATTTTTGCTAGAATTCAAGGTTATGAGTGCAGGTGTGAACATTAGATGTTTCCCCCTGGGAAGATCGCTCTAAATAGATACTAAGGAAATATTCATACAGCTGCTCTCAGAAAGAAAAGGCTCCAAACCCGGTGACAGAATGGAAATGACAACTTTGGTTAATTAGATGAGCAACACGTTTTGACATGCATCACCCTTTGCGAGAGGTTCAACTCTTATTGTCCTTTGTAGCCCGGTGTTGTGTCTTTGCAGGTTGGTACATAAGCGCAGTCCACTCCCTCTTGCGGTAACACTTATGAAACCTTCACCTGCATTATATTTTTACATAACAAATTAGTTATTATCAGTCTAATAAGCTGAGATCGAGCTGGGGGTTTGTGCCAAGTGGCTGGACACGTCGGTCTGAACTTTAGATCGCAACCTTTGTTCTTTGAACTATTTCTAACATAGCAGCTTATGTAGACGTTAAAATATCTCAACACATAAAACTGTGCCACTGGTAAAACGTTTACCTTAATGCCCTCTTTTCTTTTTTAAAAAACTTGTCTGCAGTAATCAACCTAAGGAAATAATCTTTTGTCCCCTTTAATGGAGGCTTGCAGTAAATTATTATAAAGCTAAATACACTATTTTTTTTCCACTGAAGAAACTTCAAGCTGCCATGAAAACACTGAGGGCAAATCGACATATTCTCCAGTGTATAAAAAAATGCCAATCCATAGTAGGGGACATAAATGACATCCTGGATTTCAGCTGCCATCTGTGACAGATGGGGAAATCTAATGAACCCATACACAACATACAGTGAGGAAGGTCGAGCATACAGGGAGCACAGTATGACAGCTTTTTGGGTCTAAGTGTGGATCAAACCCAAGTCTGGCTGTAGTCTGACTAGAGGTGCTTTGTTTAGTTGTTGGCATCATATTTCGTACTATTCATCACGTGAGCTCCAGATCTCTTTCACTCCCAGCTCCCTGCTGTCTTTGACAGCTCACCTGTTGGATGTGGCAAGCAGACGGGGAATGTTCTAGATGCATTCCAACTTGCCTCGAGCGTGAACACAGCACTGCCTGCTGGTTGATGGCAAAGAGGGAGAACTGTGACATTGTTAGATATAGTGTAACTAATGAAAGAAGCTATCAGAGTAATGAAAGAGCCCACTTACAGGGATACTGGCAGTAAAAAAGAATTGTAACAAGTCAGACTTCTACAGAAATGAGAGAAAAACTGCTGTCTTGTTGCAAATGTGTTGGTACCTGATCTTTATAGTTTTCAGCTTTTGAGCCTTAAAATGAGGTAATTGTATCTAATTGGCTCTTTTACAGCATGTAGCTACTTAAAGCTGTTTAATCAATTGGGTTATTTTTCTTTATTTTATGTGTTTTTCTTTTCTTTTTCATTTGTTTTATTGGCCTCAAGAGCCATTTTCACACATGAGCTGTGGGCCTGAGCTATATGTGAGAACGCAATTTTCTACTTCAGTTTGATTTGATATCAAATGGTCTTTGCCCTGCCAGCTCCCTAGTTTGATGTCACCTTGAACCCTTGTGAGAATCGAGCATAGTCTAGAGAATTCACAGCCAGCCAAGAGCACTTAATGTATCCTTCCACTTGCACACTCTCTAACCAAGCAGCACCTTCACCTAAACCAAACAAATGACACATAAGTCTGGAACTTATGTGTCATTTGTTTGGGGAAAACATAAAGGTAAAGAGAAACTGGCAGGATGCATATTCTCCCTGTGCTCGTAGGTTTCTACTGGATACTCTCACTTCCTCCCACAGTCCAAAGACATGCACAGTAATTGGTAACTCTAAATTGGGCGTAGGTGGATGCAAGCTAGGTAAAGCACTTAAGTGAATAAATATGTGTGGAAAAGGCGAATATAGTGTAGCAGGCATTGAATGGTTATTAAGACCAAAAAGGGTCTGAATCCAAGTCTGTTGCATCCGTCTGTTCATGAAACCACTTTGCTACCCTTTAAACATCTGTAGCTCCAGTGCTAGCCAACAGAGTTAAGGAAATTTGATCTCTTTTTAAATTGACTGTAAATCTAAGGGTGACATTTGTATGAATTACTTCCTCAAATTTGCTTGGCCTGCTTTTAGTTTTCATTTCTGTATATACACCGTGTACTGTATCCATACCTGCACCTCCAGTGTGGCTTGACCTGTCTACCGCTGTCCCACAGCGGGAGACCAGCCAGCTTTAGTCTCCAGGCTCCATCTGATGCCTTGAGTGGAAATGAAACACCCCCCTCTGAGCTGTAAATTACACAAATACAAATCAGGTGATGATAAGACAGGATCCCCGCTGGGCTCAGTACAAATATAGCCGGTCCTGCATATATAGTTCACATCCTCACTGATAAAATGTGGCTGCACACTTCTACTGCAGAGTGCTGATCCTGGCAAAATTAGGGTTTTTGATAAAGATTCTTTTTTTTGTTTGTTTGTTTGTGGAGTCAAAAGAAAAATTCCCTTTTGTGTTGCACTAAATCACTAAATGTGCACTTTCTGGCATACAGTCTAGTCTTTTTGTTAAAAGCGAGTGTAATTTCTGCCAGTGCAACAGAACAATGTACCTCACTCCAACGCATCAGTAATATATTTTAAGTGGGCTTTCTCCAGGTGCTCCTGCCGCCTCTCACGGATAATTGGTGATTTTTATCTCGGCTGTCAGTGTCAGAATAAGCGTTAGTAGCCATTCTCTTTGTGTCTGCTGTGTGATGGACTGGCGACCTCTTCACGATTTACCCCTCCTCTTTTCCCCAGCTAGGACAGACTGCAGTATATTCGCAGATGCAGATTTCAGTTTTTAATTCAATGCTGGATGACTGTTCAAGCAACAGTTGCTTACCTCTTTCCCTGACAAACACTTGACGACCTCCGCTGTACCCATAATGACGAGTTTTGACACCTCAGAATATATAATTAAAGATGTAGTTTGACCACCATCAAAAAATAGTTTCCAGGTTTTTCCAAGGATAGCTGCACAGGGAGACCCCGCCTTCACTAACTTCTGCACACAGCCACTCATTTTGTAAAACCCCACATGGGGGCTCAATAAAATGTGTATATTTTCACCAGATCTGACGCATGTGCAACAATACACGGAGCAGATATAATAGGGCGTTCACTCTTGCTTGGGGACAAACTAATCTAGTCCTTGTAAGTTTTCAAGGGGTAAAGAGTTTTGTCATTACATAATTTCATTGCATTTGTTTCTTGCCACCGGTATTTACCAGCCAGTGTGACAGATAGCCCTCCAATATTTACTGACCAAATGCAGAGTCTTCCTACTAATCTACTGCTTAGTGGGTGTTAATTTTGGACCACGTATGAATGAAGCCTTGAGAAATATTATGTGAAAGCGTCTGACGGACAGAATATTGTCAATTTATGCAAGAGAATAATGAAACCAGCTTTGAAAAAGCTACAGGCAGCAGTTAATAAAGTACTATAATAAGCTGCTGGCGTGGGAATCTTAGCAACATTGCAAAGAGCCGTTTGGTCTCCTATATGTGCAGAATGCTGAAAGAATATTGTGTAAACTGCTTATACCCTCGGATGAGATGCCAAGTGTGGGCTGTATACAAATCTCTGAGAATAACAGATAAAGCACAGTTTACTGTGCTTTATCTGTCTTCTCTAAGGGTTTTGTGATTAATAGGAGTGTGCAATTGTAGTGTTTGATTGCTTCTAGAGAAATGGCTCTTGAAAGCTATACAAATGTTTCATACTGGAGAAGTACGAGTGCCTTCTTTTATTTTGTTTCATACGTGCTTGGCAGCAGATATCAGGTGACGTCTTGGATACAGTAGGCTGTGAGAATCAAAAGGTCCCGTTGTGGCTTATCTCCAGCACAGCATTGTTGTAGCTGGTATGCTGTATTGCTTCTCAGAGAGGCACAATCCTCTTATTGTTGACAGTGGAGGGATGCTATCTGGCTAGCTTTGACTTGAGCTGACTCTGCAGCAGCTTTGTGTTAGACCCTTTAGCGCTGCTGTGTTTTTGGGCCTTGTCTTGAAAGGTCGCGTTGTCCTCCGTCTTCCCTCCCTGACAGAGACACATTGCTGGAGCCTTCTCTGCCCTTTTGTCCAGTTTACGACTCCCTCCCCCCCGCTGCATAGTTCTGCCCTGTTCCTGAGGCCACTGCGTACTGTGCTGTGTTGAAAAAAAAAAAAATCTTTGTTCAGCCACAGAGATCAAAACAAAGAGATGAACGTTTATTTTTTTTTCTCCCCAGAACTCTAAAATGAACTGTTTATGTTGCACATATCAAGGTGCTGGTCTGAAAAGCTCCTCGTTGCTATGTTGAATAGTTGAGAACAAGTTGTACCCAAGTTTCTTAGCTGTTTTCGTGTCTGACTCTTGTGACTACTACTGTATTTCTTTTTTAAATGTCACTTAAATGCAGATAAAATCTAATATTTTTTTTTTCTCTGCTTCTTTTCTGTGTAGATACTGCTTCATTGTAACACTGGGCTATTTGATATTGTGTCAAATCACACGGGTCTACGTTTTTGACTACGGCATGTACTCTGCAGATTTCACAGGGTAAGCTAACACTAGAACTCTTTCATCCTCATTTTTCACATTTCAAAAGAATGCTTTTCTTTGTACAGCCCATCAGTTATCCATTTTCTGAAACGAGCTATTTCGAATGCTTTCCTTTTAAGACCACATTCTCTTTAAGCCAAGTTTGATGGGCTAGCCCTTGCATATACAGTGTGTTTAAACATCAGGTGTGTGGGGCATCTGTGAACTATATGCCTGAGCTGACCAAATTTTAAGAATAATCCCCTCTCTGTCTTCTCTAAAGTCTGAGGGAAACTGTGTGTTTTGAGTAGACTGAATCCTGAACGTTTGGCTCACGGGGATTACTTGTGTGCTGACCTCAACATTTGAGACTTTGCCAAATGACAGAAAATGAGGCATAATCAGTGCACTTTTAAGATATTTTGGACCTTAATTTAACATTAAAGACCTTCACTGATTGAGCTTGAATCCCAAATGGACTACAAATGACGCTAAAGGGAGAAGTCGTCGATAAGAATCGGCCGAATATTGGATGTGACTCAAGCTAAATGGATACAAGACTGAGTCCCACTGCTCATCTGTGTCCGCACGAGGACGTCGGCAGGGACTGCAGTTCCAAGTGGCTGGTTCCCATTTCTCCAGACAGTCTGACAGTTTGAGCACACAGCCCGCACTCCCAGCAGGTTGGGGGTGGCTAGTTACTAAGCAACCTAATGCAAAGCCATACTTCCTCTGTGAGATTTCACTCCTTCAGCTACATCTGTTGTCCCTCTGTTTTCGCTCAAAATGTCAAAATCACATGTTTTCTTAAATGTCATTGTACCTCCCACCCCAGCCAAATGTGCTTCGGAAAAAGGGAATTATATTTAAGGCCAATATTCAGATTTTGGACTATTTTGTTTCCTTATTATGTTTCTTTCGGGCTAATAGGGAAAATGTCTAAGATAGGTGTTTATTTAATTAGAGTAGTAGTGCATATTTATTGAGTTAATCCATTTTTTGCACATTACAAAAACATTTCTACACAAAATAATTGCCTCAGTGTAATCAATTAGGAAAGTTTTTGTCTTTTTCAAATATCTTGAGCCACACTATATTTCAAAGATGACTAATATACAGTAAATACATTTTTTTCTTTAAGTCACTTAACACTGACCTATGAGTCATTCAGGCAGAAAAAAGACACATACTCGTGTTGTGTCAACACATAACTTACAACTTGGCAAAGAACACATTTTAAATTCTGGCTTTGGGCACTTTTTGCAGAAATACACAATTTCTTCCAATTTCTTAGCTGAATCTGCAATTGCTTGCCTAAGAAAATTTAGGCATTATTAAAGAATAAAGGTTGTCTTATCAAATATCGACTTTCAGGCTGGTTAGTATTATACAAACAGTTTGTATTTAATATACTGCATTTCCATGAATCTCTGTAACTATTTCTCTTCCTACCAAAATATAAAGAAATGACATGTGGCTCAAGACTTTTGCACAGTACTATAAATAGGTAAATAAAGCCTCATTTACATATTTATCTGGAAAATGTGCAAGATAAAAAATAATTGGCTTAAGTCTCATAATAACATCCCATAGTTGTAACTTTTACCCAATTGGCCTTTAAAGAGCAAATAATCTCTACCCTGTGGCTTATTCTTCCATTTGTAGCTCAACTTCATGCCACCAGCAGCTTTCATGTATAAAATTAATCCAGAATATGCTGATGCAAGCATCAGGAGAGGAGCTGTGTTTTTCTGAGTTTAGGCTTATAAATATCCCGCACTGATAGAGAATATCATTAAGTCGGGATAAGGAGGGCTGACCAGCACAGAACTGGAGAAAAAACAACAACAGGAAGTTTAATAAAAGCCTGCCGTTATCCTGGAGGAAACTAGCCATTGTGAAGATACTACCACTCAGTGTTTGCACTGTTATTGGAAGATTCCACATAAAATATCAAACAATGGTTGCTAAATGAATACGGGATAGCAGCCAGGCAGGAAAACTCAGGACAAAGGTTTAGTGCATGAGCAAATGTATGTATCCTAAAGTCAGAACACTGAGACTTAAATGTGCTGCGTGTTTGCTTTTTGTTTTTTAATGTTTACTCTGTCTTTAGGCCCATGATGGTTATCACACAGAAGATCACCAGCATGGCATTTGAAATCCATGATGGTAAGAACAAGTGTCGTTAAAGCCCGTGTGTCTCCAGTGTAGTGTGCATGCGTGCGTGTGCATACTTTGAAAAAAAGAAGTGGCAGATGTGACAGAAGTGAAAATGTCAGTTCAATTCTCTTTGGAGTGTGAAAACAGATCAGATGGCCACATTTCTGAGCCAGTTGTCAGTTCCTACAATGGGCTACTGAACCAGAAGGAGAGCATAAACATAGTTATATAATGGAGCAATGACCAACTTTGCATTGTTTTTTTCCCCCCTCCTCAACCGTTAAGACTTTCTTTAATCCCAAATCTAATTAAACTAGACTTTGTGCTGTCCAAAAAGTCAAGACAAGACATGTGATGGAACAGCCCCGTGTTACATTGTGACATACCGCAGAGCCTGTAATTATTTATTTGTTTTTTCTAAGGTAACACAACTTTAGTCGACGCGCAAAAGTCCAATTTGTCTTCCTGTGGCTGACCTGCATTTGACTCTCCCTCCGCTCCTGGAACAAATAGAGACTTTGCTGATATAATTGAAACACCACATGTGCCGATGAGGAGTAAATAAAGATCCAGAAGTGAAATCATGTTTAAAATAGGAACACCTGACCGAGTATCAGAGAGGTACTCACAGCTGTTTAGCGCCCACTTGATGGCTTAAGTCACCTCAGTGTACTGACTGAACACAGTCATCAGTCTAATGACAATTTGGATGATGTTTACTTGAATAGTGTGATATAAGGATTTTAACTGCTTCTCTTTGCAAGTATGCCAAATGCATTGGTGTCACTGGATGATTTTGCAAAGTCTCACAGGAGGACATGTTTTCTGGAGATTTCACTGTATTTTGTAGGAAGCCAAATCATTAAGAACAAGATGTGGCATATGAGTGGCATGGACAAAATGAACAGGTTGGGCAACCAGAGTTTTGAATCATCATCACTTTTACAGCCTTCTTACTGACAACGCATTTCCCATGGCCTGCAATGCAACAATGAACTGAGATGGTTAAGCCAAGGAGCTGTACCAGCATGTTTTTATTTAAAGTTTTTGCAAACATTTTCACAAAATTCCTTACATACGGCTTAAAAATTTGGATGTCTTTTACTCTTGGTAGCTATGCAGTAACGCTGTTAAGTCCAGTCCACTGAGATAAAATGGCCCATGAATTAAATGATTTTTGACACCCCTGGTCTAATAAGTGAGATAGTAGTGGCCATGAACGAAGTGCCGCATCCTGATTACTTGCCCAATATTTATTGTCTCCCTTTGTTAGAATACATGTGTCGATGGCACAGTTTACAGTCTCAGAGGTCAATATTTAATTTGAGTTTTTATTGAGTCAGAGGGTTAAATTGTGGCCCGAGGAGCAGGAAAGTTTAACTAAATATTAGCTTGCACAACAGGCATATAATCTCATAGTATAATGAATTGCATAGCCACTGGTCTTCATAACAAAGAGCAGACCCAAAGTGGAACAGCCAGTGTTAGGCGATGAGGTTATGCACACAACACCCTGTTTGCTCTGTTGCATCATCTTTTCTTTACACCCTTTGCTCTTGCTCTCTGTCGCTCACTGTCCTCTGCTAACTCAGCTGTGATTGATATTGTATTGAATTTTTAAACAACATAATAGCTTAATGAATGTGAAATGGGGACAAGAGGTGACGGGTATCTTAAAAAACAAGCATTGAAGCACTGAATAGAGAGAGATGAGAATGTAAGAATGAATATTAAAAAAAAAAGAAGAGTGTGTTGGGTTTAGGATCAGGTAACAAAGGATCAGGTGTGTGTGAGCCATAAATTTCCATGTAACGGTCGTTAATATTGTAAAGAAATCGTTCCTGTAGCAAGTGATATTGTTGTGTCCCGCTCAGCTATATGCTGCCAGCCAGGCAAGTCAATTTTACCAGCCTATACCTATTCTATGAGCGTACATTGAACTCATCATCATTTCCAAGAAACTGGTTTGCGATGACTTGAGCTTTATGGCATCATGGCATGTTACCAGCCATCAAAAGATGGGTACTGTGGTCACAGGGTCAGCAACAATACTCAGGTAGGCTGTGGTGCTTAAGCAAATCAAGACCAGGAAATGTATTTTCCAGTCTTCTATTATGCAATTTTGGTGAGCCCATGTGGATTGTCACCTCAAGTTCCTGTTCCTGTCCTGTAGATTAGATATTTGCCTTAAGAACCAGTCCAACAGGTGTTCCTAATAAAGTGGCTAATGAGCATAAATGAAGAGGGAATTGTGTTATTAACGAAGGACAGGGCTGCGGACAAAAACAAATAAAAAGGGGATTTACGTGCCTGCAACTTTCTGGATAAAGCCGTGAAGCAATGTCCAAAAGTTTGCAGTTTAGGGCAGCCTCATAGGACGTGAGGTTATACACCCTGGTCAGGCCCTGTGTAGCACCTACGCTAACTTTTACAATTAACGCTACAGAATCTATGGTACAAAATGTTCTGTTGATAGTTTTAAATTGTATTAAACTGCCGTGCAGGAGCGTAATCCATTTCAATCCATATCCTGTTGACAGAATAAAGAGCTAAAATAGCATAGTGTATTAGAAAAATGCTTGTGACCCTTAACAAGCTTAAAATAATACGTGTGTGCGTGTGTTGTGAAGCTGTTATGCATGTCACCTGTTGGCATTGAAGTGTCTCTCTACATTTGTAGGTTTGACCAAGCGAGAAGGGCAGCTGACTCCTGGTCAGAAATACTTTGCTATCAGGTATGTGACTCAGGTATGTTTTTGATGCTTCAAATGATGAGTTCACTGAATCAAGTGGAATTAAAAAGCTGCTGTGATTTTTAAATTGGCATTCAGTCTGAGAGCAATGATCCTCTTTTCTTTAATAAAGGCGTTATTGCACACACTGCCCTCCCCTTTCAGTCTCTCTGGCGCTGTCAAGCAGTTGTTAGGCACTCTGTATCTAGGAAACAACACATTGACTACTCTCTGGTGACTTGTACTGTGGGAATGCCTATCCTCTCCATCTATCCTGCTGTATAACTGACCCCCCCTTTGTCATTCCTATTGGAGACCATAATGCAGCAAAAACAAAAGTAAAAGTAGTTGTTTAGAAACAGGTAGTTTATATGTGTCAAAAAGGTTAGAAAAGACTAGCCAATAAAAAATGCACAGCAAAGAATAACACATATTTTACATGTGAATCTTACACAAACCAGCCTAGATGGTTATAAAACAGAGCAAACGTAGTGATCACTAGAAGACCTACTCATTGTAGCTTTAAGGCCCTAGACATCACAATCCTTCGCTGGGCTACTTTGAGTCAGCCGCTTACTCTGAAATGGCTGCTGGGAAGGACATCCCGCATGTTCCAGCAGTCAGACTGTGCTTCACCTAGCAGATGAAATTTAAATAGGAAAAACTAGGAGAAAAAAAGTCTCCAGGGTCAGTCGAGATTCTCCATCTTTGCTTGGACTGTTCAGTCAAATAAATCCTACTTCTTCTCAGTCGATATGGACAATACTGCTCTAAGGCATTATAACATGGGTTTAGTCACTCATATATGTGTTTGGTCTGGATTCTGTAATGAATGGATGAATATTTTCTAATGTTCAATCCCTGTCTCCTCAAGTCGTATGCCCAGCTTGTTGGAATATTTGAGCTACAACTGTAACTTCATGGGGATCCTGGCAGGGCCAACCTGCTCCTACAATGACTACAAGGCCTTCATTGAAGGAACGTGCTACCAGCCGCGGCACCAGGAGAACGCCAACGGCAAGGAGAATGGAAAGTACAAGCAAACTGAACCCTCGCCCAAGGTACAAAGCACATTAGTGGACACAGTTAAGTCCCATTTAGATTGGTTAGGCAGATGAGCCTAACGGTCAATACAACATTGCAGTTTTTACTTGACAGAAGGTACTATCTTGAATCTTGAATGCACATAACTGTGATGTAAAATTGCACATTTGGATAAAAGGCCCAGAGTGGAGCAGTCCTAAGAATAATATATTGCCATACATATACAGGGTTTTGATTTGCGTGACAGAAACTGGGACATTACTGGGAATTTGTGACGCAAATATTGAAACCTCAAGGTTTTTTATATATTCTTGATGCATAATGCATTAATAATTTAACGACAGTCCAAGATTAGAGTTTGTGTTTATAAGTGTTTCATAAAAGAAAGGAACAAAGTGAAAACAGATGTTGCTAAATATAAAACATAAAAGGATTCTCAAGGACTCAATTTACCTTGAAATCAGCTTAACTGGGTTTCTGTAGAATAACATCACCTCTCGTCATGTTGCCAGCGTTCGTTTTTGAATATAATACAGTTCACCGAGTTTAATTGGATTGCTTCATTTTATTGTCTTCCCACCTTTTGTCCAGAATGATGTCGTCTCCAAGCTGTGTACCTGTGCTATCTCGCTGGCCGTCTATCTGTCCCTCTACAAGCTACTCCCAGTGGAGCGCTCGATAGACGACGACTTTGTAAGCTCCACACCCTTCCATCTCCAGGTTGTCTACCTTTACTTGGCAATGCTGGCGCTGAGGCCAAAGTACTACTTTGTCTGGACGCTCGGTGAGTTTGACTTGGCTTTCTTATCAGTGAATAACACATTTCCTCCCATAAATGTGTTATTCAGAGATTTGAATCTGTCATTTGAATGTTTACAAATAAAATCTGTATATTTCGATTTTATGCAGATTTTAAACATTTGCATAAACACTGTATATACAGAGGTTCCTTTATGCTGGAAAGGAAACAGTCTTTAAATAACATGTGTAATGTGCACAAAATGTTAGGAAGAGCTGGGACAGGAGAGGGAGGAAATAGCTTATGCCTACTGGCATTCAAATTTTCATATTTGGTCTAATGTGAGTTAGGCAGGTATTAAAAGTGAGGAAATCTGGTGATAAGCTGGACAGTCTGATGAAAAGTGTGTCTATAAGTGTTACTAAGATCATATTTCTCAACCCCACTGCCTCTTTAAGTTTAGAATTGAACTTGTCTATGTGAAATGCAACCTCAAGATATTTTTTGAGGTAACAGTGCCATCTAGTGGTGAAGATCTAGTGGTGTCGTGCTTAATTTTAGACAAACGCATCCAAGGCTCCATTTGTTTCCGTCACTACTTTACAAACTGCAGGGAGGGAAGCTCTTGTCATTCTTTACTGTAGTCGCTCTACTCTGAAGCCCATGTACCTCTGTCCCACAGCTGATGCTATCAACAATGCTGCCGGATTCGGCTTCAACGGATACAACAAAGATGGCTCCCCACGGTGGGATCTGATCTCAAATCTCAGAATTCTGGACATTGAGGTCTGGATCTTTGTTCTCATTTTATTATTTTATATCCAGATAAAGCCCCTTTTTATGTAAAGCCTGAAAGAATATTTTTTTATGTATTTGTTTTCAGTTCGCCACCAGTTTCAAGTTGTTCCTAGACAATTGGAACATTCAAACAGCTCTTTGGCTTAAGAGGTAAGAGCATTTCGGTTATAATGCTGTAGCTTTCTTAGTCTGCGAGAGAACAAGTTGTGCATGTATATTGTCCTCGACACATAAGCAAAAATGTTTGCTTGATACCTGCATAATTTATGTGGAGAAATTTTACAGAACCTATAATCTGAGGCATTTATATTTGATGCAGTGAACTTAAATTAGACAGTTTTGCCCATTTATGAGATTTTGATTCATTAGTCTCCACTTTTTTGGACTGAGCGCTAGATGTACGCGTTATGTTTTCTTCTCAGGGTGTGCTACGAGCGCTGTCCCATTAACCCCACTGCTGCCACCTTCCTGCTGTCAGCCATGTGGCACGGGGTGTATCCTGGCTACTATCTGACCTTCCTTACTGGCATCGGCATGACGATGGCTGCACGTGCAGTGAGTACACGCAGTGCACACTGTTCAATTGATGAAAAGCTTCTGAATTTGTATATTACTTACTTTCAAAAAACTTGCATTAAAATTCTGCTACAAAAATTGATTTGTTTTCCACCGCCATACTAGACTTTAAGACCTCTATAGATTTACCACAGCTACTTAACAGACCAACGAACACACAACAAAATCACTTAATGGATTGCAAGTGGATAATAATGAAGTAGTGTGCCACTTAAACCTTATTTTGAGCGTGAGGCCATTACCACTAATCTCGGCAAAGCCAGACATCTTCATTCCAGTTATGTCAAAAGAGGAGACAGGAGGAGATTTATGCAGAGACAGTGGAGTGATAGTACACTAGGAATGCATTAAATCTCTGGATAAAAGAGATAAAATGCAGAAACGGTCAATTTTGTGTGCGGGGCAGTGAGTTGTGAGTTTCTGCAGCGACTGTATCCTTCTTTATCTGAAGGAAGACAAGCAGAGCATTGACCTAGTTATGCCAACTTCTGGCCTTTGCCACACAAAGCTGTTTCAGAGATAGATTCCTCCCAAGATCTACGAGGGACAGAAAGAGACGGCGCAAAAGAAAGATGGGCAGATAATGAGTGGAAGCCGACAGTAATCCCTGCTGTCATGTGGAGATTTTTGGAACTAGGTCAGTTAGCTCAACTTTAGTCTATCGTACGGAAGAGTGGGCAGAGTATAATTCAAACTTTACAGCTTCATTTACCTAAAATGTTTAAATTGACAAGTTGAACTTGTTAGAGCAGTAAGAAAAATACTTTCTCTTTCAGGTAAGGCACAACATCAGGCCGTACTTCCTGGTGTCTGACTCGTACAAGGGCATCTATGATGTGATCACGTGGGCATGGACTCAGGTGGCCATTAGTTATACAGTGGCGCCATTTGTGCTACTTGCAGTAGGACCCTCACTCAAGTTCTACAGGTACGTCTATGAGCTTCTTATACACTGTGGAGTAGGAGACACAATGTCAGCCTTTCTTATTTTAAAAAATACATTCATTTTGTCAGCAATTCTGTTGTGTGAGATTACCGTGGTATTGTAGCAAACTTAAACTTTATTATTGTTGTAGTATTAAAAGTGTACATGAAATCGTTGCCCGTAGTGTTGAAATTTACATGTTTTTATTAGCCTGTCAGGCGGTAATGGTTAACGAGACAGCTTTATGTTTCAAGGATGAGGAGGAAATAAAACAAGTGACCTTATAATTGACCAGTCGCTGCAAAGAAATTACGATCCAAACATCAACAACAGCTGCTAGACAGGCAGTAAAGAACAGACACTGTAGTAGTGATGGGCGAATCATGAACGAATCGTTCAATACTCGAGAATCACTTTACTGACTCGTGACTCATGATTCACAAGCCCAACTGACTCATCCCTGTTGCTATTAGCAAACTAATTTCATTAGTAGAAATATATCTAGCTTATAATTCAAATTGTGTGGAAAAAAACAACAGCCAGTTTCTTAACAAAAACATTTCTGTTCTGAACTGGAAGAAAAAACCCTGAGTAGAAGCTCACATCAAGACAATAGCTTCTCAGTTCACAGTAGCATCGCTCTGCTAGCATGCTAACAGCACATTTGAGTTACTCACCCCCTCCCTTCCTGTGCTGAAACCTAGCATGAACGAATCACTCACTCACCCCCTCCTCAGGACTCACTCACCCCCTCCCTTCCTGTGCTGAATCATAGCATGAACAAATCACTCAGGACTCACTCACCCCCTCCTCAGGACTCACTCACCCCCTCCCTTCCTGTGCTGAATCGTAGCGTAAGCGAATCACTCACTCACCCACCCCCTCCCTCCTTGCTCACAGCTTCTTCTTCTTCTTCTTGGTTGGCAACCAATGTTAAGAAACATTACCGAGCTGCAAATGTCATAAACCCATAATTTATTCACAATAGAGTACAGAAAACATATCAAATGTTTAAACTGAGAAAATGTACCATTTTTAAGAAAAATATTAGTTTGTTTTCAATTTGATGGCAGCAACATTTCTCAAAAAAATTGGTAGAGCCATGTCTTGTAGCAGTCTATGAATATCCTGGAACTGAGGAGAGCCGGGCTGGACTTTTGGGAGAAGATTGTTGTCTCATTTTTCAGTCCCGGGTCTTCATTTTTGTATTTTATGTCTGTGATGCGCCAGATGTTTTCTGTTGATGAAAGGTCTGACTGCAAGCAAGCTAAACTGGCTTGTTTGTTTGTTTACTACAAAGTCATGTTGTCGAACGGTTTACCGTTGTCTTGTTAACAACATTCTCTCTCATCGATGTTTTCGCAGGACTTGGTACTTTGTGTTACATCTTCTATGTCTGCTGGTGGTCCTCGTCCTACCTGTCAAGTCGAAACGCCGACAGGCCAAAGAGCAGCAGGACGACCTCCAGAAGGACAACCAGACAGATCACAACAGCACAGACAACAACTGCAACCAGAAAGAAAAGACCACATGAGGGTCGGGACGGTGACGCGCCACCCCTTCAGCAGCAGAAACACTGAGGCGAACTATAAACTACTGAGACCTGGAGTGTGTTGAGTCTGTTTACCTGACAAAGAACCAAATATCTCCTATCAGACAGAAAACACAAGTCTACATCCTGGCAAAAACTTCCAGTAGCAAGGCTGACAGCAATCACACTTCTGACATGGATACGAGACCAAGGTGAAGAAATGGCCAAGGTGTAAACTAATGAGCGGTAGTGGTTACTTTACAATACATTAGTGAAAACGAACACCTCCAAGCTGCCTTAAACCCTCTATGTACTTTGAAGGTGAAATAACAGTTTGAGTGGCACGCTGCAGGAACCTAAATGCAGTTACACCAGTGTGGTTTCATGTAAGGTAAACAGATTTAAAGCGCAGTATGTGGAGGGTTTTTGTCATTGTCTGGGTACAAGCCTCTGTTAGGTGGCAACAGAAAACCATGTACATGTAAAAGAAACATAACCTTTATCATCAGCTGCCAATTTCAAACAGGCCTTAGGATCCTCAACATATTGTTTGATTTCTATGTCTTTTTTTTTTTTAAATCTCTATTCCAGAAGAATTCACATCGTGTGTGTTTTGTACTTAGATGTTTGTGACGACACTAACTGAAATCCATTCTGAATGCTCTTTTGTTTTTTGTGGGATGACTTGACTATGCCTGAAAGAGAGAATCTCAAAGTGGAATTCAGATCTCATTCCTCTCCATTCTAAAAGATTTAATAACTGGATATCTTTTTATATTTTTCATATCTGCTGCTTTTTTTTGTTGGGCAAAGAAGACTCATCTGATAAATGTGTGTTTCAAAGGGAGTTTGTTTACCCTCTGGTAACTTAGAATACCTTTTAAGGCTTGTTGACTTGGGGTTCAGAATTTTTTTTTTTTTTTAATTTCTGCTGATATTTGTCTCATGACAGGTTTCCTCTGTGTTCAGTTGTTAATACAAGTTTCCAAAAATGATTTTAATTAACAGAATTCCTACAGAATTTACATTCTTCTTGAGTTATTTGTGCAGTAATTGTCTTAAGTCCTACAAACACAACAGAAATCTAATCAGATCACCGCACTGACTTAGAAATAAAGTGTCAAATGGTCCATGCACAGTGCATAAAAGCACATAAAGAAACCAGTTACAGTTATATATGTATGTGACTTTATAGTATTGTATAAATTCCAAACACATAAGCCAGCTGTTGTGATAAATGGTCTTATTTCATATTGTGTGCACTTAATGTTAGCCTAGGGGATGTTTCAGCATTTGCTGTATGGTGTTCCTGTTTCCTCATGTTGTTTTGGTCCGTGGCTCGCCTTATTAGCCTTCTAGAGTCCCCCAGTTGGACCTTATAACAGCGACTGCTGTGATATTTTTCTGAAATCATTAGATCGGATTAATGAATGATGTAGTTAATGAAAACATGGTGCAGAGAGGACCTTTTACAAGGCACCTCGCTGCTCTTTGAATAATAGTGACACATAAATGTACCTGTAAGAGCAAGATATAATCTTGGGATTTCAAAGCCCACAACATCACTTTGAAATTATGCTTCCTTTTTTTTTCTTTTTCCAAAAATCATTCTCAATAATTTGAGTTAAACTGATGCATTTGTTTCCTGTAAAGTAGTAACAAAGCAGCAGAGATGAGTTGGGGATTTTTCTTTCTTTCTTTCTTTCTTTGTTTTTTTCTTTCTTTCTTTCTTTTTTTTTTTTTTAAGACTAAGATAACACTCGCATTTTCCTGCCATAACTTTGTGTGTGTATACCAGTATTCATGTGACCCGTTGATGTTGATGTGAACTCGACTTAACTATATTTGTAGCCTGGGCCCTGTGTAGGCGAGAGCGGCCCACCCAAGGGGAAAGGGATGTCATTGTTCAAAAACATAGCGATTATTGCACTGCATGGCCACCCAAACCAGCAGATCAATGCAAACTGCTCCATATGTCCAAAGTGCCAAATCATAAATGGCGCATTTTGTTTTTGTTTTTTTCTTTTGTGTATAAGTGGGCCTGCGTGTGTGCGTGTGCGTGCCTGTGGAACATATTGGTTATTTTTGTGTCAGAAGGAAATTTATTGAAAGATTTGTATAACAGTACATTACAATTCTGATTTATGTGGGGGAATAAAGAGAACTTATTTTTAAACACTAACACTGCCATTATGTCATAAATGATTTGTTTTTGTCCTGTTAAAAAAATGAAGTAATTTGTTTTTAAATGAATGCAAACACTAGTACAAAAGGGCTTTAGCTGCATATATCACATGTGCATATAACAACATTAAGATTCTTGCATGTTAAAGAGAAACAGGAGTAGGACCATTTAAAATATATTTATCAATTGGGTTTTTATCTTTTATTGATTTTTGTCTCTTTTTATAAACAATACTTGACTTGTGTGGATATATCCTTCATCCACCCAAAGTCAAAAAAATGGGGCAAACAAAAGGAATTGGCCTTTTTTTCTGCTTTGTAGTGTAACAAAATTCCCATCATCATTAGATTATCCATCTACTGCTCCATGCACATCATAATGGGAATTGAGTACAAATTGGGGGGAGTATCCAGATGCTTTACTCAGGTTCAGCATTTATATTATACTTTAATAGGCGACCAAAGAAAAAGCTAAATATTTTGCTATATATCACCAGAATTACCTAAAAGCAACGCACAGCATGTAAGCGTTGTGCTTAAAGCTTATTTTAACTACTTGTTGAATTTAGAAAAATATTTTGTTGTGTTTTTAAACTCAGAACCTATAAAGTTACTGTTAAAACTGTAAAATTAATGTCGTACAGTAAAAACAAATCCCACCTCACCGCTTTTTTCCCCTGTTAGTTTTCTTGCCACATGTTACCCTGCTGTACTCTTGGGTGCGAGGAGGTGGAGTCTTACTGTAGCAGGTCGAGGCTCCTCTGTCAAATAGAAGCAAAGATATTATGGCTTAAAAAACGAAGACTTTGTGACTGGATTATCTGGACCGGAATTAAAATACAGAGCAACCCAGCGTAGGTAAGACTACTTGAAAAATTGTTGGTGTACTTTTCTCCAGCTTTTTAGAGGAGATAAAAAAAAATAAAATAAAAATGTAGGGAACTGTTGGAAAGCTAACGCTAGCCTGTTAGCCCGTTTCCAGGTTAGGCTAGCTTGTGTTTTCAAGTTGCTTCCTAGTGATAGTGAACGGGAAGTCGCTGCTGTGTTTGCAATATCGTGTTTGCAAAAGACCTTTGTCAAGACACCGGAATAACCGAGCCACACTATTTCTAAACTTTTCTTCGCCTTGTCACATTTAAAGCCATGTGATTATATGCGCGTCATACAGATGTTCTTTTTTTAAGAGTCATGGGGGTCAGAGCAGTGAACGCACCATAGACTTGGTGATTTTATATTATACACCGTATCAACATCATTTAAATGCCGCGATGTTGATACGGTGTTTTGCCTGTCAGTTTGTTGTGTCCATGAACTCTGTGCACGTTGCAAAGCCCATAGCCAAGCAGTTGAAGACTCTGTGTGTATCAAAAACATGAGACAGTTTTTGCTTATCCATATAACATAAGCAGACCCTGGTATGCACAAGGGAACTGAATCCTCAGCAGTTTCATACCCACATGACTGGTCATAAAAAAGCTGACAGGTTAAATTTAGAGACCATATCCAGTGTTGCTTAGTTACCTTCTAACATTTGAATGTGTTCAGATAACCAAACAGCTGACGTGGAGTTTTATTTGATGGTTTGTGATGTTAGCTAGTGCTCTGTGTTTTTACATAAACACTATAAATGTCATGTTTATGTCAGTTTTCCAGCTGGAAACAAAGAGAATTGGGCTGTAAGTAACAAGTGTTTTCATTACTGATTAGAATTTATTATTTTCTTGGTCGATTTGACTTTTGGACATTAAAATGCCAGAAAACCGAACTTCTAAAGCCAGTTTCTTGTTTTGTCAGGGCAACAACACAATTTATTTAATAAATTGTCACATTTAAGAATGGGTTAGAAAATAACTTGCAGCGATCCACTGATTTATTTGGTAATCCTTTGTTTTTCTTTATTTTTGAATCCAGAATCCTGTGTATAGATCATTTTTATAGCACTAATTCACTTTCACATGAACTGTGTTCATTTTCATTAACAGTAAAAAACGCTTTCTTGTTTGGATTTCTACTATATTGTTGGGTGATTCAAAGGGTTAGTTTAATATTTAATTTTAATTGATCAGCACCTGAGTCATTTTAAACACTGTGATTATAGTGATACTAAAGTGACAGCTCCCATGCCACTTTATTGCATTATCCATAAAATTAAGTCATACAGATGAGTCCAAACATCCTAATTGGCCTTTTATCTTTATCAGTCGGTGCCAAGCCATTGCATGTAATGAATGAATATCTGGTCGTGTGTCTCTATTGTGTTGGGTGAGGATGGGCGTAGGCCAGCCCCCTCATCTAATATTCAGCTGTTTGTAAAAAGGGGGGATGCTGAGCCTGAGCCTGGCAGTGCTTGTTGAAACTGTGTGCAGCTGAGCAGAGAACCACTGCCAGTTTTACCCTTCACGAAGGTAAGAGTTTCTTTTGTAGTAATGTTTTCTGGAGATTGTAGGTCTTATTTTCCCTTCTTTCTCCAGCAGCTTATTTTTGATGTGTTTTTTCTTTCTTTTTTACTGGTTTATTGTCTGTGAGCTTTAGTGTGCATGTGTTTTGTGAAAAAGATGCGACTGAGCTCCACTCTGATCACTGCTGAACAGGGAGAGAGCACTTAATGTTTACTGATTGGTTCTTGGATGTATTTGTCCACCCATTATGCTGAGAGGCAAGAAGCTGGGGAGGGTGTGTCAACAGGCTCCAATTGCTTTGACTGTAAACAAAGGATTTTTTTCTCACCTCTTCCTGGCACTGTCTAATATGGGCAAATGGTTACCACGCGATCCCTGACTGAAAATATAAAGAATTCAGAAAAAAAAGGTTCAATATTTGCATTGATTAGTTACTCTGCATTTGAGTAAACTGCCAGGCCTTTGTACTGACAGCCCAAGAGGCATGTGACATTTGAGTGTTTATTGACCTGAGCTTGAGCTGCTTGTCTGAAGGATTATGGTGAAATATTGAGCCGTATATAAAGCCCATTGCCAGGGCAACTTACAAGCAATGAATGGAGCTGATTAATTCTTTGTTACTGTGGCAGGAAGTAGGTCTGACCATTAGGAAAGAGCCCAACTTGATGAATGATTAATGAGTGCTTTTATCGATTACTGAATCCCTAATTCCTGTAAAAACCCATTTCAAAAGAAAACATATTTTAGAGGCTTTCTCTTGTCCAGATGTATTATACAATACATTTCTGGGAGTTTTGTGCAATTTTATCTTAAACTGGGAATATCTTTTCTAAATATAGAGTAAGTCAATACCCAGTAGTTAAAGTGTCAAAGAAATAAAACAAACCTTGGCCGTCCAGTTAAGGTAAAAAGGCTTAAAATGACTCAGTAAATTTAGAAACATGCTTGTCTCTGGATTTAGGATAATTCTTGAGAATTCAGATTCAGGTTCAGTCCAATTATAGATAATCTCGCTCCAGTGGGTCATGTGCATTGATTTGTCATATAGTCACTGCGTCTTACTGCTTTTTTCCTATCGGTGAAAAATACTTCTTGTACTTTTAAGGAGAACTCTGCTTTTTTCTTGTGTACAAAAGTTCCACAATGTCCAATTTCAGGAAGTGGAGGAGGGTAGAAAAGGCTGGCTCTGATATAATTGGAGCAAACAGTCCAGTGCACCAATTGTCCTAGCCCTTATTACATCAGAGAGTCAAAGTTTAAAGGCTATTGTTTGTCTTCATTGGTATTTGATGGCTTGGTTAACTATCTTGAGCAGAGCTTTGTGATTGCTCAGCCTTCATTATACTGAGTGGACAAATTTCAGTCAGTGTTTTCAGCCTCAGCAGACAGACTGAACAAAACTGAAGAGAACTAACAGCCCCTGCTCATCCCCGTGTAATAAGCTTGTTTAATAGATTGTAAGTATGGTTATAATTATACTTTAACATGATATTAAAAGATTTGTAATGACTTCTGAAATGCACGCTCAAAAAAAAATTGTCCTCATAATTTGTGATTGATAATATTTTTGCATTAGAGTGGATATTGCAACAGGTTGAACACACATACACAGAAAAAAAAACTTTTTTTTCACTTTTTATATGTGTGTTTCTTAAATATTATACTTTAATGTGTACACCATCTAGTCTCTGCTGTATTGTTATTGTTTGTATGGGAGAGCTTATGCATGCAAGTTGGGGTTTGGACAGTGGTGATTTATTCCACTGCATCACTTCAAAGGCACACCACACCTCTTCCCGGTCACGATTTTAACTTCTTGTTTGTCTCTTAGAAGTGCTGTATATTTAGCTGCACAGGCCACAAAGCTATTGTTGTGCTCTTTATCTCATTGTGAATGCTGCTTTTGCTCTCATTCTGCAGGGGTGTATAGCTGGTTAGCGGTCAACCATGGATACCAGCACGTCCCTGAAGATGACCTCTCTGGCTGTCCAGAGTCTGTTCAGCTATGTGGACGAGGAGAACCTGGCTGCCATCAAAGCGCATTTGGACATGTTCACAGATGTGGACAGCAGGAGTGATGTAAGCCACATCACAGCAGCCTTAATGTTGGCTCTAGAAGTTCAGGGAAGAATAAGCAGTAATTAAAGGCTCTTTAAAATAACTTTAGTTGGTGTTATGTAGGAAAACTAAAATCCTTCTGTGTGGAGTTTGCGTCCTCTTCCTGTTCAAAAACATACTTGTTAGGTTAATTGGTGATTCTTGGCTTTAGGTGAGAATATGAATGGTTGTCTGTGCTTGCCTTATGAAGGACTGGTGACCTCTCCAGGCTGTTTCCTATCTCTCACCCAAAATCAGCTTCGATTGGCTCCAGCTAGTAGCTAAGAAAATGAATGGATGGATGAAGATATAGTACTCATAAAACATTATTATGTTATTATCTTTTGCGTTCTTAATTATTTTAGATAACATTTTAGATATCTCTTGTCGCTGCAATTAAAAGGTCAGCTACTGTTTTACAACAGTAAAGAAATTGTTTATTATGTGCACTTAGTACTCATTGAACGTTATTGCAGTATACCCTAAAAGACACAGAGGGATA